GGTGCGTCTCACAGGTGTCTCTCATCGGTAATCACGCCACCGGCCTCGCGCCGTTCTCCCGCGGCCCTCAGTCTCGTCCTGCTCGCCTCAGTAAACATAATGGGTCTCATTCATGAAACACGAGCAGAACGAATTTTTGTGTAAATTGTGTGTAAAGTGGTTCTGGCGTAAATTTTCGGATTCATTAAAATGTTCGTATTTTCCAAATGTTAGTTGGTAGGCCTACACAAGAAATCTACACCTGCTCCCAGCCACGCGTAAATAGTGCGCTTAACACCCGAACGTTTTGCTCATTAATAAGGCTGCATTTTAATTCACCTTAATCGGGTACATATTTGCACAGCATTTTGGAAAAATATTATATATAGTAATTACATACGGTTTTTCTTATTATGAGAGCCAGTAATAGCATCTGCGATGGTGGTCCTTCTCCAGTTTGAATACTATTTTTCCGAAGTGAACTAATTCGTTTTTTGCTCTCAAGCTTAATGTCGAACCATTTTCTTCTCACTTCTGGGAATGTTCGATTAACAGATGAAACTCCATTAACTGCATCTGTAATATGCTGCCAAGCTTCCTTTTTTTTTTAGGACCCGATACGCCACTATGTACGCTTGAAAATAAAATGTGGCGTTTTGAATGAACTTCTGATAATAAAACTTCAATTTCTGCATCTGAGAATTTTTTTTTTCATTCGCATTCATGTCATAATATGATGCCCATATATAGTTGTCAGTCGGATTTAATGGGCGGGATTTATGGTAATTGAGAATGAACGTGCACGCGCATCCCATTTACGACTGATTGGAATTCATTAACACACACACACACACATTTCACTATCACATCTGACGTTTACGTCTTTGTGAACCAGGAGAAGAGTTTTCGGGAAGGTCTGTTTACGCGCAAATCACTCGCATATCTACTCGTATATTTACGAATGTTTCATGAATGAGACCCAATGAATGGCGACTGTAGAACGCAAAAGCCGAATCCCAGACATTTTGGGCGATCTCGAAACACATTTTCGGGCAGACTCATCACGGAGACTCACTAGTAGCCTAGACTTGTTGTTTAACTACTGCGCTCTGTTACCGGTAGGCGTGGCCTCCTAGGGCAGCGAAGCAAGTGCATTCTGGGAGTTGTTGTCTTTCATCCACATAAGCCAAAAATACATTTTCTGGCTTTTCTCAGTCTAGAAAGCTCCAAATTCAAAAATAATTTCACATTTCTTCTACATACATGACCCATTTTAAATACACATTCATCTTTCCAGTATCCCTTTAATAGATCCAAGTCCAGGTAATAATACAGGTCCAGCAAGTACACCAATTTCCTGGAAAACCCACACTACCGGATGTTTTGAATGTGTCATCGCTTTACGAGAACAGGGAGAAAATGATGCCCTGAGGAGCTTCAACATGCTGTGTTTCAGAGATGATAACGTACGCAATACGTAACGCACGTGAGCATACATTTGTTCTGTTGTAAAACTTTGCTGGTGTAGTAAACATCGTTCAACGAGTTGGCTTTGACGAACATTTGTATGCACAAACTACACATTCTGATTCTGACATTCCTGATTTGAATACTTTCAATAATTGTCTATTCTTGACTGATTCCCCAGAGAGTTCACTCAGAGTGTTGCGCTAATCACTCCGCCCAAGTAGCAGTGCTTCACCTTCTGAGAATATAGTTCCCAGTATGTATACGGTTAAAAGATGTCTGTGTCTAATATGAAGTTTGTTATTTGTACATACTGTGACTATACAAATCACAACATATAAATAGGTAAATGTTGGCGTTATTTTGTCACTTATTGGGAGCAGTATGCTAGCTGGACCCATTTACTTCCAGTCTTTGTGCTAAGCTAGGCTCGCGGTGGGTGCGTCAGACAGAGTTACAGCACGCACGGAGATGAAAAGGGTATGTATGGACTTATCTAACTCTGGTGGATACAGTGAATAAGCTAAAGTCCCAAAAAGTCGGCGTGTTCCTTTAAATGAGAGATCCCTGTAGTCGTCCAATGCTGACTTAATATATATTATAAATGTGACAGTTGATTTTTATCAAATGTATTTAAATACTATCTTCTTCGTTGTTTAAAAGATTAAGGCAATTATCAAAGTTTGAAATAATATTTTTACATGATTTGTTACACTTAAACTACCCCTTAGCAGCCTCGTATCTCTAATCAAGTTGAGGATTTTAAACTGCCTTTCAGTTCAAGTCAAAAGATACATAAATAAAAGGGAATCATTCAACAAAGAGGCCTGCAGAGCCACAGATTGTCATGCATTTAAAGAAGGGAACTTAATAAAAGTGTAATTAGTCAGCCTTGATATGATTTGATTAATTTCAGGGGACTGTGATCAAAATTACAACATTGTGTGGCTTTTTTACACAACCAGGCATTCTTATTAATGCTTTCTATAAATATTTATAAGAATTGACAATACTGTAAATGCTACACAACTGCTGAAGTGCAATATACCAGTCAAACACATGGAAAAATAAAAATAAAAATTGTATATGAGTTGTATTACCAAGTTACAGGTGAATTTGCTTTAATAAGGTTGAGTAGACACATAAAACTTGACATGAGGCACACTATGGAAAGCACTTTCTCTTCAATTTTAAAAGTTATGCACTTTTATAAGCCAGCCTTCAAAGTATATTCAATTATATTGTGAGGTGCAATTTATTATTAGCAATTGCCCTATCATAACACACCCGGGAACCATTTGTGTCAACACAAAAATTCAAATTTCTTGATGCAATTGTCAAACCAAGTAAATTTTAAAGTGCTAACAGAAGATGTACATAATTTAAACACAAAATGCCTCCTGAACAACTAAACCAGTGCATATTTAACAGCAAGATCAGCATGTTTAAAAACAAATACCATTCGCTATGAACTCACTGCCTGCTGGTCACATGCTAAAATTCTCCGCTATACCTCACACGTCTACATACATAAACACACACAGCAGACCCAATAGAGGAAGGAGCCTCTCCACTCAGTCATGGTTGGGTCTCAAGAGCTGCATCCAAATTCTTTCCTCCCCGTGTCTGAACACCGGCCCAAAAAAAGGCAAGTGCTTTTAAACGCATTCTGTACAGACAACCCATGCCGTCACTTACAGACACATCAAACCCAGAAGACTCTATACAGGGCAATAGATATTACGGTTTTACAACAAATGCCACCTTTTCCTGTTTAAAATGCAAGATGTTTTTAGAGACCTAAAAACTTATTTATGTGACACCTAGAACCTTAAGTTCAAATATAAAAACTCAGCTTCTTTGAATTACTTTATTAGGACTGCTTAGCGATGTTTTTACCCCTGAATCTGACTGTGAACACGTTGATTGTGTCTGTGTGCAAAATTGTTGGTTAAAGGGATAGTTCAAACAAAAATGAAAATGCTGTCATCATTTACTCTACCTAAAGTTGTTTCAAACCAGTATAAGTTTATTTCTTCTGTTGAACACAAAAGAAGAATGTCAGCAACCAGACAGTTGTATTTTTCCCACCAACTATGGAAGTCAATGTGGTCCATCAACTGTTTGGTTACTGACATTCTTCAAAATATCTTCTTTTGAGTTCAGCAGAAGAAATAAATTCATACATGTTAAAGGAACAACTTATTGTTCCTAACCTGTATGAGTAAATGATGACAGAATTTTCATTTTTGGGTGAACTATGCCTTCAAGTAGAAATCTCACTAAATTGAGCCTATATGAACAGTAACAAGAAAATAGGATCAAATATTTTTATATTATACTAATTTTCCTAGATACCAAGAAAAACTCTATTGGTTAACTGACAGAAAGTACTTTTGCATGTAAGCTCACATCCTTCTTTTGTCACACGTAATTCTTTGCAAAAGTCATTAGCGCCTAAAACGGTTCTAAATGGAAAAACTAAACTACAGTGACATCTTTCTCGGATGTTTACAGTCAAGCCAAGGAAACTAGCCTACGTCTTAAAGAGACAGTGAACAAAAAAATATCTGTCATTATTTTCTCAATTTTAGCATGTTTCGAAACTTTCTGACTTTCCTTCGAATGTGGAAGGCAAATCTAAATGCTAAGACGAATTTTAATAAGTGACAGCGTAAGTCGCCTCTCATGTTCATTGTGCGATTAAAAGGTGCAATGAAAGTGAACGGTGACTGAAGCTGTCATTCCGCCAAAAATCATCTTTTGTTTCACAGAAGTAAGAAAGTCATACGGGTCTGGAAGACCATGAGAGTGAGTCCATTAGCATTTTATTTTCTGAGCGAATTATTCGTTTTAAACTGCATTTTGACTGCTTTTGCGCTCCCTCGCAGTCGTATTTTATATAATTCAATCTCCCGCACAGAAATCATAATGTAGACAGACTTTCTCCACAAATGCCACAATTTCGGTCAATAATCTGTAACGCAACATACGTGTCAACACAGGGAAGCCTCTTTCCAAATACACAGCCGTGCTAACTGGTTGCTAAGCACCTTCTCAGCGTTATTTCAATGGTGACTAGCGGATCAAAACACATTTACGAGTCGGATCAGTACATCTATATAGAATAACCTCCATGCACATTCATCCGATGCCTTTATAAACAGATTTAAGTGTCATTGTGCTGTAGATCATCTAACGTTACTGTATGCACTGATCTATGAGCTGAGCGGCTAAAAGGCTAACCAGAAGCTAACACATACACACACACCCAACAATCACTCAGACAGTCCTCTTCCTGCCTTCACACACTCTTTTACACACAAATACGTTTATTCCGGGATCATCTATCCAGCACAGTGCGCATAAAAAGCAAATATCTGTTTCGATCACAACCCAATTAGCTTCAGCGGCTACGGGGTTCCGCAAAACGGCCCGACGAAGATCGTGATGATGATGATGGTGGTGGTGTTGGACTGAGTAAACACTGCCAGAGAGCAAGCCATCCTCATACACGGATCTGTGCACAACAGCCACCTCTGAGGCGCTCTTACCTGGTGCAGAGCGGTGAGTCCGTCCACATTAGCGTAGTTGATGTCCGCGCCGCGGTCGAGCATTCGCAGCACCTCCTCCGTATCGCCGCTCGAGCAGGCGGCCAGAAACACGGCGCCATCGTCGAACTTCACCTTCGTCTTCTTCTTCTTCAGGACGGGCGGCTCAAGGTCCGTCTCCGAGCCTATCCAGCGCTTCAACTGTTCGTTCCTTTTCTGCTTGGCGTCCGCCATCTTCATCCCCTCTAGCCTGGCGCTTCTTATCTGTCTCGAATGGAAGATATACTTTATACTGCCACTATCCCAACACAGCGCGCTGGGGCGTGGGAGGGGACGGCACGGCACGGGAGAGGGGAGGGGGGTTTAGGCTCACAAACCTGGTTACGCCGAGATATCGCGAGAGCAAGCGACGTCAGCTCAGGATCTGCATCTGCAGCATAACGTCATCTTTATGGGGCAGTAAAGAAAAAAAAGTCTGTCTACAGTATATGCAAATTATGTTTAGAGTTGACACAGAACACGGGAAAAGCAGATGTTATTGCATAATTATAAAAACATAATCATAATAAACTAAATATACAATTAACATAAAAGCAAAAAGGCAAGTAGCACCCGCTGCCTGTGTAATAAAATATTTATTAAATATCATACATAATAAATATGTAATAATAAAATAAAAGCCTGTTAGAGTAATTAGATTTACAAAAAAAGGCTATTAGAGTAGGCCCATGTAGTAATATTATTAAATATAAGTGAAGTTGTCTGTATTGGTGGTTTGTATAATAATTAACTATTTTGCATGTACATGTGTAAAATGTTGTTCAGTGTTTTTTATGTTAATTTCCATACATTAAGAAAAAAACATTACAAAGCATTAGAAAATAATAATAACACATACACATAATGTTTACTCTGTGAATTACGTCTTCATATAAAAACAATACAATTTGCTTTGCCTAAGTGCTTAGTAATCTCAGTTGGTAGAATCACATAATAACTGTTATTTAATAGTATCTCACTATATGCAAGTGAAATGTACCCAAATATGACTGTTCATCAACTCCCAGCTTTTAAAACACCTTTTAAGAAATGGAAACACACCTCCATGGATAATAAGTGTGCAGCACTTCCATTAGTTTAAACTTTGATTTTATGTAATATTTTGTAGACTCATATTAGAAATTAGAGGGGAAAATTGTTACTCAGCAATGGCAAATGAAGTATACAATTACCAATGTGAACATGTGCCCATCAAGTCTTAATAAATGTTTAGCCTACATGTGCAGACAGAAAACACAATATACACAGACTCAGTGCTTATTCAGAGGAACTAATTATATAATAATGTTTGGCCATACAAAAATAAAAACATACTGTGATGGTAAAGTGATAGCATTAGATGACAATACCACTGTACTTTGATAAGGTACTGAATAACACACACACACACACACACACACACAAACAGACATATATATGATATATACATTTTATATAATATACACATATTATGTAAACATAAACTTTTATGTTAGATGCGATTAATCGCGATTAATCAGGGTATCTGCACATTTTTTAACAGCAAATTTAATGACTTTTAAGACCTTTTTAAGTCCTCTAAAAGGCTAATTTAAGACTTTACCACGACAAAAAAAAAAACAGGAAAATGTTCAAGCACGACACGACAGTGTAAATTTTGGCAGCCGTTTTTGTTTTAGTCTTAAGATGAAAATGCTTATTGGTCTTAGTGCCATTTTTGTAATTTTCTCTTTCATAGTTTTAGTCTAGTTTTAGTTGACAAAGTCATTGCATTTTTTGTCAACTTTTAGTCAAACTTCAGTTACCGACATAAATTTTGGTAGCTATTTTATATGTCGTCTTTAGACAAAAAATGACATTATAATTTTTTGCTTTAGGCCAATTCAGTTAAGCTTATGAGACATTTAAATCAAGGTAACAGGCTGTATTGACAATTAACTCTTTAGCAGTAGCACTTGTGCAATTCTACATATCCCTGTTCCTTAGTTCAGTGGTACTCCAATTTTTTTGAGTGCCGTAACCCCTCTTGCACTTAGACTGCAGTCAAACCTTTTCCATTAAGGGACAATATCTGCCCCTTTTAATCGATTTTTTCCAGTTAATTTTTTACCTTTATAAATACTTTTATAAAAGAAATAATGCTTTAAATAAAACAATGTTCAATAAATATGCAATGATGGTAAAAACGAGGTGATACTTTTTAACATTAAATTAAAATCGCCAGTAGGTGGCGGTAAGTCACTGTCTTTATGAGTGAGTCATCCGTCATCGAGTCATTCATTCATTCAGTATAACCAGAGGTATAACACAGTCTATGGTAACAAAGCAAGTGGCTGTATTTATGAACGGGTCATTGAATCTCACGATTAGTTCAAAGCCACAGATTCGTTCTCGAATCACCACTGTCTGCTGCCGTGGCTTTTGTTGCAAAATAGCAATAATATGATCAACATTAAAAACACTGCTGGATATCAGCCTGTATTGATCGCAGATTTAGTCGCACAAACAGCGCAAGCGGCTCGTGACAGAATAAAGACCAACTGAATGACACTTTAATTAATGTAAGTAGAAAATCTCAAATGAAGATCACTGAACTCCAGCTTACTTGTCAGTGTTTTCAGATCATCCGCGCTTCTTCAGCAGTGTAGAGAGCGCGCGCGCGAGCATGGTTGCCAGATACTATTGACAAGACCGGGTAGAAAGCTTGTTATTTTAACAGAAAAGCTCTGACTGGGGATTTAATTATTTAAATCTGGCAACCGTAAGCATGAACGGTCGTAAACACCGTCTGTAATGTGTTGTTAGTAGGCTTGTTCGACTTCATGCAGCTCTGCGCAGACCGATCGGCGGCTGACTTGAAGCAGTGCATGCCGGTTAGAAATGTTGTCCGACTTGATACAGCGCCGACGCCACGTGACTGTGACGTATGCCATCAAAATACCGCGAGAGCGATTCGAGAGCAGCCGGAGAACTCAGCCAGCGCAGCTTCTGAAGAGCGGCTGCTCGGGGCTGCACGAGCTCTGATGACGACACAGCTGTTCCACGATTGGCCGGATTCACCGCATGACAACGATCACGTGCGTTTCGTGTTTATTCTCACACCTTTAGTTCCACTAAAGCTCACAAATCAGTTTTTTATAACAGTAAACACTCTTTTCATGTAGTCGTGATGTTAGGCTATATTGTGTTATGTTTATCAAAATAAAAGTGATTAAAAAACATCGACTGCACTTCATTGATAGTGGCTATTTTGAACTTTATTCTTGTTCAAACAGATGCAGTATGAAGCAGTACATAAAGTATTGAATGAAAATGTGTCTGAAACATCTGTGCATTTGGCAAATATTGAATTTATTTCACTTCAGCTGTGGTAAAGTATACAAACACCACGTGAGCGGTCACTACGGGAACCAGAAAGTGTCCGACTTCACGTCTCCGTTTGCAGCTCCTCCCCGCCTGCACGCGGCTACTCTCGCCGATCGCTTACATCCAGCCGCAGCCGATGTCGAACACACCTGTTGTCTCCTACAAGAAATTTAAGGTCCGTCCGTGAAATTTAAGACCTCCTTATCGGAAATTTCAGATTTTAAGACATTTTCAGACCTTAAAAAGCGAAAATTTTATTTAAGACGTTTTAAGACTTTTTAAGGACCCGCGGGGACCCTGTTAATAGATTTGAAAGCACTAAATTCAAACAATAGTTTAACATAAGCTTATATAACATCAGTGAAAATAGTTTATTTATATATATATATATATACATCTATTTGACACTTCCAATTTGTTCAATTTGCTTCCATCAGGTCTCTTCTATTGCATTTAATGGTTTTATTGCCAGTGTTTATTTGATTATCCTTCATTTAAATCTGTTTCTAAAGCACTTTGAGCTGCATGTCAGGCATTGAAGAAAATGTAATAAAACTGAAATTATTACAAGTACGTTCAAGAAATAATCAGTTGATCAATTATCTGGTTATTTTAATTTATTTCCGAGCACAAATTGTTTGAGGACAGTAAAAAGATGTCAGATATTCATACTGGTGAAATGTGAAATTACAAATTGCATAGTACAATATCAAAACTGCTTACTATTTCATTTTACTTGTATATTTAATGTGCCACAAATGATCATCCTTTTTACTTACTTTTTTGGATTATCTTTTTATATATCATGGGGATATCAAATATTCTAAATCAAATATTAAACATCAACTGACTACTTTAAAAGCCCATTTTACCCCTGGAAGGCTTATAGAAGTTTCCTCATCTGGGTAATTGAGTTGACAGGAACCTTTTGACCCGCTCTACCGGGCCGGTAAAAAGTGTTATTTTTCTTTTGGCACTGTGGTGCGTTATTGTTGGCACAGGCCCATGTTTGTGTGGTTTGAGCAGGTAGCTGGCAGAGCTAGTTCAGATGTTTGCCATCTCTCTTACTAACTATAATCATCATGATGAGCTTTATGACTTGAAGTGCAATAAGTGTCAATGTAATTACTCAACTAATTTCAGTTGGACACGATCCAGGTGTGTACGTCATCACGGATTCGTGTAATGAAGAGACAAGCATAAAACGTGTGTTTTGGTTCACCAGTACACGCTGATTAGACATGATGTCTAATTGAAATTGACACTTCTATACTTTTCTCTAACAGCAGGACAGAAATTTGAGGACATTTTTTTAATAAAATAGTAATGTAAAGCATACCCATACATACGGCAATTTAAATGTATTTAAAATATATGCTAAATATATGTTGTAAACAAGGATGGTAAAACTAAGCAAGAGATGTTCTTTGCTGCTTGACCAAACTCCGATCCTGCCCATATTTCATCTTTTGTGGACTTTTCAAGACAGGAGTCTTACTTAAATAGATTTCAGCACAATCAGTGCATGAATCAGCTGCTGGCAAGTGTGTGTGTGTGTGTGTGTGTTGATCTTTTTAGTTGATTAGAAAACCGTCTCTGGGCCAGAAACTCGTTCCAAGACAAATTCTCACTGTGCACTGGATACGTCAGTTCCACTAGATTTACTGGTGCACCAAAATCAACTGCCTATTTGAGAACCATGAGGAATCATGCCTGTAAATGTCAGCCATCTGAATGTAATACAAATTATCCATTATGCAATAGTCTTTTATAGGAAATTTGAACAAATGTATTACTTATAAAAAGGCTCGCGTTTTTTTAGTCATTAGATTAGTTCATACAACTTATCGGTGAACCCAAAGAAAAGTTATTATACAAAATATCTCATTGTTTCCGGTAAAATGTGGATCAAAAGGCCAATCCGGCTGATTTTAACCAT